TTGCCCCCCTCCCACCCCAGTCTCCTGCTCTTCCTCACTGAGCCCCACGTCACTTCAGTGGAAATTCAGAGTCAACATAATTCACACCTGTGTAATGAAGCCTCCTCTCCAGTCAGTTTTTAAGACAACAGATTTAGCTTCTTTGTTATTACCACGTCATGTCCAGGTATTATGAGGAGCCGTCCACGGCAGAGACCGGACCATCTGTAAAAGGTGCCGCTGTATTAAAAGTCAGTATTAAATGTCAAACGGAGCGGGCGGCGGCAGTAGGAGACAAGCCGACTCCTTCCAGTGAGTTATCTGAGCTTCTTATTACCATATGTATCCTTGTCATAATGTATGTTTACGCAGACTCAGCCAAAAACTGGCTTAGTGTCTAAGTATGTCACCCTCACAGTCAACACGGTACAATGTCAGCCACTGGCTGACTGACAGACTCACCGCTAAGTGGCTTGGGAAGTCCTACCTGCCCCTGACGCCCAGCACCTGAATGACAGGGTGGCTAATTGACAGCGTGTCTCCGTGCTCCCACAGCGTGGCGGCCTCAAAAGAGAATGATTCATGGCAATGTCATGTAGATCAGAAAAAGTTGCTGAAAAAGTTCTTTCTTGAAAAGCTTGTTGTCAGGTGTCTGAAGCTGCAGTTGGTGGTTTCTTCATAATGAGATTTCACATCGCTAACCACCAGTGACCGGCTATCTGACGGCTGGGGGTGTGTGTGAGCCTCTCCATGTACGTGGGTGTGGGGGTGGGGGGGGGGGGGAGAGAGAGAGACGTTGAGGGACAGTGAGAGAGTTGGAGCTGGACGACCAGTGTTGACGTTGTTGGCTGGCCTATCCTGATGGAAATAGGTGGCTTGGTTTGTACTTGTCACACGTGTGTGTGTGCACACACACACACACTTCCTCTGAAACAAACACGCACACACAATCACACATATGCACAAGTCTGCTCTGTGGCTGAAATTCTCCCTTTTTTCACCTCTAATTGGTCCTGTGGGAGTTGTCAGAGGTCTCAGTGGCTGTCTGCGCACACACACACACACACACACACACACACACACACTCAGCACCGCACTGCAACGGTGGAAGGAAAGGGGAGGGAGAGCAGAGAGGGAAAAGCACCGCCATCGTCACCTGAAGGTTGTGAACATTTATCACATTTTGTGAAGATGATGGAGAGGAGATCAGGAGAGGAGGCCTCTCATTGGCTGCGGCCGCTGTCCTAAAGTGACTCGTACGTACGACAGAGTCAGAGCCTGTTCAGCTTTGGTTGCATCGTCCCGGCAGCGTGTGACGTCGGCAGCGTGTGACGTGTGGACGTGTGGACGTGTGGACGTGTGGACGTGTGGACGTGTGGACGTGTGGACGGGTGGACGTCCGTTGGGCGACTGCTGCTCAGGGGACGGTGGAATTGAACAGACTGAGGAGCCTGTTTTTCTGGGCTGCAGTGGAAGTCACGAGGACTGTATTTGTGTTGTGTGACACACTTTGTCTGGCACCCCCCCCCCCCCCCCCCCACACACACACACACACAGCACCGCACTGCAACGGTGGAAGGAAAAGGGAGGGAGAGCAGAGAGGGAAAAGCACCGCCATCGTCACCTGAAGGTTGTGAACATTTATCACATTTTGTGAAGATGATGGAGAGGAGATCAGGAGAGGAGGCCTCTCATTGGCTGCGGCCGCTGTCCTAAAGTGACTCGTTCCTACGCCAAAGGCAGGGCCTGTTTCGCTTTGGTTGCATCGTGCCGGCAGCGTGTGACGTGTGGACGTGTGGACGTGTGGACGTCCGTTGGACGACTGCTGCTCAGGTGACGGTGGAATTGAACAGACTGAGGAGCCTGTTTTTCTGGGCTGCAGTGGAAGTCACGAGGACTGTATTTGTGTTGTGTGACACACTTTGTCTGGCACCCCCCCCCGCTCCTCACCCCGACCGGGGTTTTATTTAACTTGTTTTTCTGCCCTGTCTGGATGACTCTGTGCACAGCATTTGACTGAACGTGTGATTGTTGACGAGTTTCTCGTCCAGATGGTCAAAGATCTTTACACAAAAGGTTTTTGCCGTCAACCTGGGGTTGGTTTATAACCCACAGTACCAAACCTGGAATCAAACTCACAACCCTGCGGCTGTAATCTGTTGATAAATGATATGTTTTTCTTTTGTCAGTGCGTTTAAACACGACAAAGTAGAGGAAACCAGGAATTCCATCAGTATTTAGAAGAATCCGTTTTAATTTGATCCACCAGTAACAACCCGCCCTCAGCATCTGATTTATTAACCTAATCAGACATGGATGACAGCACTGGGTTAAAGGTTCTGGGCTGACACAGTTCCCTGAGCCAGAAGCCGTTCCTTCTGTAATCTCAGTTTTATCCACGTGCTGTGTTTACATCCAGTCACCGCGGCGGCTGCGTTTGTGGCGTTAATCCGTGTGAACGCCGAGGATCAACTCCTGATAGATTTAAACAACTGCCAAGTCGTTCCATAGATATTTGTACAGCGACACTCTGTCAACACGCTCCACAGCAAATCCAGATATTATTTGGAAAGTGTCCAGCTCAGTACGCACTAATCATAGTCGTGCACATTTTGGCTGTTGGCCGGTGACCAGGGCTGCAGGACCGTCCGTGTTCAGATGTGGGTCGTAGCTGCTCCTCACTGCACACAGCGCACGTCGTCGTGGTGTCAGGCGGATCTGTGTGCCGTCAGGTTGGCAGTTTGTGTGAGGAACCAAGTTGGAGACTGGCTGTTTCCTGGCATCCGTCTCCCACGGTTCTGTTTGATGTGCTGCCACTGACTTCCAGACCGCTGAAGGATTAGAAGACAACTTTATTTTAATAATCTTGTGGTGAGAATTTCCCATTGTTAAACCAGAAGGCTGCGAGTTTAAATCCACAGAGGAACAAGAACACGGACAGAGACGCTGTGTTAGAGACATGTGGCTCCAGAGCCGGTCAGTCAAAACCACTGATTCTCAACCACTGTGTCGTGGCACACTGGTGGGCCGCAAGACATGTTCAGGTGGGCTGTGGGAAGTAATAATACAATCTCTCTTAATTGGTCTGAAAACTTTTATTTATTTACTCTAGTTATTTTACTTTTTTTCGTAAACAGCACAAAAATTAAATATTCTTCTGAAAATTTGTGCTGTGGCTCAAACACATTCCTAGTATGAAAAATGGAAACATTAGGAATAAAAAAAAGATTCGCCTCTCACTGCATTATAATAGACAGAGAGAGGGTGGGCGGGGTGGGGGGGCAATAAAGACAGTGTTAACGCCTTCTACCAGAATCAATTACTCTCGCGTGTTTTTCATGTGATTCAATTAAAGCCTTCCCATAAAGCAGGACGTAATGGGCCTAATGCAACTGGAGACAAGGAAGGACAGGAGCCAGGAATGAGCAGCGTCCTCTGTGTCTCATTAGTCCACTGCCTAAACAGCCGCACTAACCCGTTTAAGTACGCACTGTTTGAAGTGCTGTTGAGTGATGTCGGCGATGAAAAGGCCCATTGTTGTTGGTTTCAGGTGTTGCCTTGATTGAATACAGGACTCTTCAGTGTGGTGTGCTGTTGACTGCTGGGTAAAAACCACCGCTGGACGCGAGGGCTGCAGCAAAGTGCTGAAAGTGAACAGATCTGTTAGATTAACTCTGAAATCGATCTGTGCAGGGCCGATGGAACAACAAGCTCACTTATGTGATTAGTCGCTTATTTTGTTCCTCTTCACTCTGCCTTCCTTTGATCGACATGGAAAACAGAACAGAAGCGTGTCTTCACTCTTTACTCCACATTCAAGGCATTTTTTAACCCTTTAAATGTGACGTTGATCAAAAGGACCAGGTTGTTGTGGTGTCGTCCCTGCAGGAGTCTAGGAGGGAAGATGTTTTCTACATGTTTTTACTCCTTTTTTTCCTCAGGGTTTTTATTGTTGTTGTATGACAGGGTTTTTTTGTTTGTTTTTTTATTGATCCACTGCTCAAAGACGATAAGGAAGAAGTCTATTTGATTTTTAGGGAAAAGTTTTGTCGTACTTCACAGCTGGATGCAGTTGTGTTTCATATTTCCATGGAAAGACCTTGGAGTTTGAAAACCTTCTCGTCTTCTGTCAGTTTTTTTAAGCAGAGTCTGGTGAACTGTCGACTACGTTTGGTTGTTGTGATTTTAATTTTTTCCATTGTATGAAGGATCATCAGCAGAGCTGGAGGGATCAGCAGCAGCGAGTGTGTGAAAAGGAAACACATCTTTTGTGTCTTTTATTTCTGTCCATCATTTAAACTCTGGATTCTTAAGGAGCTCCTTTTAAAAGGACAGAAATGTGAATTGAGGGCAGAATGGTTGAATACAAAGTTATAAACTGTGGAGGCGGGCTTTTATTATGTCGTCCTATTGAGACGACAGAATTTTTGGCTGAGAGTTTGACCATAAAGTTTTTTGGTAATTGACTCAGCGCTGCATTTTGGACATTTTACAACAGTAATCTTTGACTCCTTTGATTTTACAAGCAGCTCTAACCTCAAGAATGTGTTCATGTAGAACTGCTCCGAGCTTTTTTTCACCTCATTGTCACCATAATTAAATCATTGAGCTCATTAAGCTTCTAGTTTTTGTTTTTTGGCTTTAGTGAGAGAACAGTGAAAACAGCTGGAAGTTCAGGATGTGACGTTCTTAAAGAACCCGGTCAAAGCACGATGAACTGTTGGAAAAGATTGTCTGTTGTTCCGCAGCCACTAATGCTGGTGTTAGAGCAGTTATTGCAGCAGCTCGGCCAATCAAATCCAGTCTGAACAGCTAGTTCAAGATCTACATGAGACTCATAAAGAAGAACGGTTTAACATTTTAAACCCTGTTTTTTTCCCTCTCTTGTGTTTTTCTATTCACCACAAGTTGATTTGCATATTTCCAAATCTGCACTCCCACATGAAGCAATTGTGTTCAGGGAAAGAAATGCATCAAGTGCCCAGTCCTGATCCGTGCTCCTCTGCCTCCTGTGTTTACAGACCCTGAAGACTATGACCGGTGGATCTGTCTGCCAGTCCGTGGTCATCCAGCTGGACAGATAAGAGCATCGGCGACCTGTACATCCAACGCCTGCGCCCCAGGAAAATGAGGACTCTCTTATTGTGCATCACTTGGCTTTGTCTCTGCCTGTCCCTGGAAGGCCTGTCTTTGATTTCATGGAGAACAGAGGCGGTGGACGGGAGAGGAAGTGGGGCAGCCATCAGAGGAAAGAAACTGCTTCGAAGAGTCAAACGGGGATGGATGTGGAACCAGTTTTTCCTGCAGGAGGAGTACACAGGCAGTGACTACCAGTACATTGGCAAGGTAAGAGCTCGGGCCACCGCTTCCACTGTGGAGGTTGGAGCTCGGTGTCTAATAATCCTCTGATTTTATTAGTGTGGTTGATCTTACACAGGGAGATCACACGTGCTGCAGATGACGTGTGACTCTAATGTATTACTGTAGCAGTAGTTCATGGAAACAAAGCCGCTTTAGCCGCGGATTAATCACCATTAATCACCATTAATCACCATTTATTGTTATGAAAAATAAATCATGATTTATTGCGACAGATTAATATTTTTTTAATGTTTTCTATACATTGTCCACAACAGAAAGAAAAATGGCTCCTGTTTTTATTTGTGACTAATCCAAATGATGGAGTCAAGAAAACCATCACTCTCAGAGTTCTACTTCATGGACTCGGTGGATTTTAGTCATTTCTGTGTTTTCAAACCTTCACAGAAGCCAGTGAGTCTGCTGCCCCCACAGTCCATTTGACAAGTGTCAGTCAGAGACACAGTAACTGCCCCTGGGCTCAGACAGGCCGCTCTGATGCAAGCCAAAAACTGTCGTGTTTTAGCTTCCATTTATAAACACATTCATATGTTTTTGCCACAGTATTTACCCCCCATTTCAGTGCGGCACTTGAACGCCGGCTGTTTACCACCCAGTAGAAAATGACAGATGCAAAACACTCCAGAACAGGTAATGCAAATGGAACTGGTCATTAGTCTTTTACACACGGGGTTTGTCAGTTAATGGTGGAAGAGCACGGTGAAAAACACATGAAGCAAATGAAGTGTGTAGAGTTTGATTATAATATGTTTAAATCTGGACCCTTCAGTTGGCCGTGAACAGGAGCTGCCAACGCACGAGCCTTCTGCTTCTTCCACTTCGTCTGTTCCTCACCAGCAGAGTGAAGTAAAAAAAAAAAACAGCTTTCAGACATATTGGAATCAACATTTTATTACCGTTATTATACTCGACATTAATGATAATTACTAACAGATGTATTGAACAGTACAACTATTCATGTTTTTTCTTCAACCAAAACAATCCCATTAAGTGCTATTTACCGTGGGTTTTCAAATGTTTTTCGACGTCTGCTTCATGCCCTTCACTGTGCAGAATTACACTGATGTTCATATAAAGTCTTCTGACCCTCGACTCAGGTGTCACCGTGACTCAGCCAATTTAGCAGTATTTACAGCAACTGTTAAAGTAATGGCTGTCTGATTCCTGCCTCGTGGAAACGTCTTGGACTGGAGTGAACATTATTGACAATTAACTTCATCGTTTCATGAAACGGCTCCACATGACTGGAGTCCTGCTGCAACCAATGGCCATTAATCACAGTGTCGGCTCCATTGTACGTCAGTGTGCAGGGAACACAATGTAGCACTTTGTTACCAACTGAGAAGAAGCCGTTATGCCCTCAAGTCTGACTCCCACCACCCCAAAAAAGTTCCCAGACATGAACGTGTGTAGCTGCTAACTTCAGGTCTAACTCTGCGTTACTTTGCTCTTCCAAACTACTGCATGTTCGTGTTTGTTTATTAATGTTCTGTCTGCATCAAGGAGGCGGGGAGGGGGACAGGAAGTTCACAGCAGGAAGGGCAAAAACACAAACGGAGCAGAATGAATACCAAAAGAAACGTCCTTCTGTATCCCAACAGGGTTGACAAAAGTCCCAACACTTTCAATTATTTAATGTCAGCTTTTGATTAGCTCGTTTCCCCCTTATTTCAGGGATTCCCTGTTCTGCTGCGTCCACAGTTTAGAGAAAACTCAAAGTGAAATCTTTTATCAAAGCCGAGGAGTTGGCCGTACAATGTTCCCGCTGCCCTTTTCTTGCATTTTACTTCTTGTGTGCTGAGAATGCAACGTTGACATAATCATCCCCAATCATTTTACTAATTAAAGATTAAGATGCCGTGGGCAGGCAGCAGGAAGTTTGAGGTGAAATACCTTCCGTTAATGTATTATTAAGTTAGCGAATTAGGGGTAAAGTCTCTTAAAGTGTATAATTTAATGCAGCCTCAGCATCTCTACACACACACACACACACACACACACACACATTCTTCACACTGACCAAAACGGCTACAATAAATGAGAGGAGAAATCTGAGAAATTGAGCAGCCATTATTCAGGGCAGGAGGTCGCTCTGCCTCGGCCGTTCTCACAGACCTAACCCTGTGGTTGCTCTGATTTATCATTTATTCCCACACAGAACAATATTCAACACTATTTCCTCCCAAAAAGTACTTTTTGCATACACTTTACACAGGCCATCACTGATTAAAGACACATCGTGCTGATCACATTAGAGTTTTCACCGTCTCTGGTTCCTCCGCTGCTCACCTGAACGTCACGGTCGACGATGTACGAGGTTAAGGTGATTTTTAACAAGGTCAGATATGTCCGTCACTCCTTTTTGGGATATTTATTTACTCTTCCTGCTCCAGGGAGTTGTGCTGAGTATCTGGGGTAAACTCTGGGCCTGTTAGTGAAGTTTGAACATTGTTGTGACTGTTGCTGCTCTGCTGTTTGATCAGTCGCCAGATGCCGGGAGGTGTTGTGCTTCTCTGTGTGAAGTCTGCCGCCTGTGCCGTCTGACGGCGCAGAGACAAAGTTTGCTTTAAAATAAACTGGAGTTTTCCAGTTTGGAGATTGAGGTGAGCAAAGAACCAAGTGAAGCAAATGGGCTGGTGTGTCGCCATGACTGCAAAGACTCCGCCGGGCGTAGAACACCCAGCTAACAACTGAGAGGGTAAACGGCGCGGACAGATGTAGCGCGACGTGTTAGCTAACTGTTAGTTTGGCCTTCAGAAGCTGTGGTTGCAGTGAAGCGTGTTGCATATTTAGCCAAAACAATAGCGTCTTGACTGTTAGAGCCAACGTTCCACTTCCTGATGTTTATGAGTCCAAAGGAGGAGGGTTGTAATGTCAGTCAGAAAAACAGTGTAAACAACAGTAACGCTCACTGTCTGACTTCAGACCACGTTACATCCAACTGTGGGGGGAAAAACGGACCAAATTTGACGTCCTGAATGCCTGGGTCGAGAGGAAGCAGCAGAAATGTATTCATTTATTCATCTCTCACTGCTTAACCTTGTTCGCGGTCGCAGAGGGGCGGGGGCTGGACAGGATCCCAGCAGTCCTGGACCTGTGGCCAGACCACGGCAGAGTCAGATACAGAGACAAATCACACTCTCACCTGTGAGAGTAGAGTTAAGAGTCTGAGGTGAAAACTCACACACACACTCCATACAGAAAGACTGCTTTTTTGCTGCAGGGCAAGAGCTCAAAGAAACACTGGTTCATGGTGAAGTTTAACGTTTCACTGTAGAAACAGAAATTATAATTAAATCTGTCACAAAACAAACCACTTCTCAGACTTTTTAACAATTAATGATACATTTTTACATTAGAAATATTTATAAATGGCATTTTAATAGTTATATCGGTGAAATTGGAAATAAAGAAATTAAATAACTTAATTAAATGCTGCAATAAACTCTTTAAAATATTTTGCAGGTTTTAGGATTCACTAAAAATGATGTGGCTGATAATAAAACTGCTGCTAGAATGTTGTGCCACAAACGCCCCCTAGAGGTAACATCCTTATATTATTCATTATTATTCAACTGTTTAAAACTACAGCACTTAATGGTTTTGCTTTTTGTCATGATTTGGCAAATTTACTCAATAAAAATTCCAAAAAAATCCATGACACGCCGTACAGCAGCAGAGAGAGTAATCTGGAAACCACTTTACTCTCTGGGAAAAAAAGAAAGAAAAGATTTCTTCTGCTGTGGAAGTGCGCTGCAGAGAAAAGTCCTGGCGGCTTAGCCGCTCATGTTGGGGAGAAGTATGGAGGTGTTACTGCCCTGCACACTGACAGATCAATTCAGACCCAACAGAGCTGCAGAGAAAAAGACAGCAATGATCAAAAGGAAAGAGGAAGTCAGGAATGGAGGAAGTAAGGGCGGTAAGAGAGGGGGGAGAGAGGGGGAGGGAATCAAAAGAAAAAAGGAATACATTAGGAAAGGGACGAACGTTGGTTTTACTAATAAAACCAACGGGAAATATTTATAGTGTTGCTTGATGAAAACCTGAGACAGTGGGGACGCTCTCAAGAAAACATGACTCCAGAAGGTGAGGTGATGAGGTGAGGAGATGAGGTGAGGAGGTGGGGGGGTGAGGGGGTGAGGAGGTGAGGAGGTGAGGGGGTGAGGGTGCAGCAGGAAGACGGAGGATCAGACGTATGAAGAGAACCGAAAGAGAAATATTACAGTTCCACTACAGGAGACGGCAGCGGCAGCGTTTCTGAATCTGAACAGAAATGTTAGAAACTGTGAGCTGTGTTGTCTGAGGTTTGATGGATTCATCACTGTGAGCCTGGAAACACTGATGGTTTCTGACGCTGGGGTCAATGAACGGTAAATGGAATATTCCAGAGCGAGGCTGCACGGGCTGCTCACTTTGATCAGTGGTAGAACGGCAATTATCTGAGATATTGTTAATATTTCAGCAGAACAACCTTTACGGGGTGACAAGCTCTCGTGTGTGTGTGTGTGTGTGGGGGGGGGGGGGGGGGGGGTTGAAGTGCACAATCGTCTGATGGAGAATACAGGATATGTATTGAAATCTGCACAAAGGCATAAAAATGTGGGAAAATGTCATCAGCATTGAGTTTAACCTGTGACCCCTGGATGTGTGGAGGAGGAGGAGGAAGAGGAGGAGGAGGAGGAGGTGATGGAGGTGATGATACTGATAGACGTGTGAACACTGTAGATGGAAGGATTAATACACGGCTGAGAGTGAGTGTATGATTTATTTTTAACTAGCCAGAGCCAAATCAGTTTTATCCTCAGCTACTGTACAGACTTGAATCCAGAAAATTAATTTGACTTGTGTTTTGTTGACATGAGGTTTATTCTATACACTCGTCCAGAAACAGAGGGATTAGAACGGTAATCTACGTTTGGTAGTGTAGGAAGTGTTAATCTGTACAGTTCAGTGTTTCAGTCGACTAA